AGCAGGGTCCAGGCTCTGAGCTGTCAACACAGAGCCTGACACGGGGCTTGAACTCCCGAGCTATGAGATCATGACAGCTGAAGTCTGATGCTTAACCAACTGAGCCATCCAGGCACCCCTTAAGGTTTCTGAAAAAATGGGGATGAGACATAGTATTAAAAGAGATTAGAGGATATTCACTAGAGTAATTAGAAATTCAATTATATTTTTCAAAAAATAAGTTGAAGTAAAATTTTACTGTCTTAAAGGTGGAGAGCACCTTTTGTGTGATTTGTTTGTATCGGGTGGTTTTCAAAGTGTGATCCCCAGACCATCAATATCACCATCACCTGAACTTGTATAAATTATTTAAGTACCTCAGACCTTTAGGTGATTTTGATATAGCTAAAGTTTGAGAACTACTGTTCTATAGGGCTATCTTCCTTTTTATTAACTAGTTTAAGTTGGCATGGTAGTTTGGTAATGCTGTGTGGGTCTGAACTTTCCATTGTAAGTGACAGAAATTCAACTTGAACTAACTTAAAATTCCTTAAAAAGGGAATTTAGAGGCTCCCTTGCTGGATTGGAATGTTATTGGGGTAGCTCACAGATTCAAAGCAATAATTGGAAGAATCAGGGCTATGGAGCTTGGAATTATCTCTGCACGACTTTGTTCTGTTTATAGATTGGGTTCCTAGGTGTCTTTGACAAGTGGGAAAGATCATAATGTGTTGCTCCCAATTTGCATCCTATGAGCTTAGCAACTCCAGAAGGAGCTGCTTTTTACCATTTCACAAGTCCACCTCTGAGACGTTATGTTCGTGGGAATAAGTGTCAATGACTGACTTAGCCTGCTTCATATGTCTGTTAGGAGGAAGGATAATAGAAAAGTATACTACTCTGACATTGTAGTTCATGGCTAGATATCTGGGTTGCTTTTATATAAGCTTACTATCTTTGTAGCAGAGAGAGAAATCTGGAGGCATATAGAGTTAGAATATGGAACATGCTGTAATGTGGATAGTATTTGTTAGCTACTTTTTTGTATTAGAGAGTAGTTAACCACTTCATTAAAAGCTTAGGGTGACCTACATAGTATGGGAGTTGATGTTTTAGGTTTATTATTTTGTATATATTGTCACTATGAAAGTAAATATACCCTGGGACATCTGGAAAATACAGAGAAATAGAAAAAAAATGACCTAATGTTCTTTCCAGAGACAACTACATTTTGGTGAATTTCCTCTGCATATTTTCATGCATAGTTATGATCATATTATAAGTTTTTTCTTTGTTTTGATCAGTATTTATTTATGACTTTCTGTCAGAGTAGTGGAAACTTAATCTCATTCAATACAGATTCCACCAGGGTTAGAGTTGTATGATGTTAATTTATTTTAAGTCTTTATTTTTTAAAAGCAATTTAGGTTCATAGCAAAGAACCTGTACAGAAATTTCCCATGTACTCCCTACCCCCACAAATGTGTAGCCTCAACATCCCCCACCAGAATGGTACATTTGTTATAGTTAATGAATCTACATTGACATATCATAATAGCCTAATGTCCATACATAGTTTATATTACCCATTCACTCTTGGTATTATATATTCTGTGAGTTTGGACAATGTATGTCCAAAAATAAATGATGTATTTATCATTATGATATCATACAGAGTATTTTCACTGCCTATAAATCCTCTGTGCTGTATCTGTTCATCCTCCCATCTCCCAATCACTGATCTTTTATGGTTTTCATAGTTTTGCCTTTTCCAGAATGTCATATAATTGGAATAATACAGTACATAACTTTTTCAGATTGGCTTGTTTTTACTTAGTAATACGCATTTAAGATTGCTTCATGTCTCTTCATGGCTTGATAGCTCATTTCCTTTTAACACTGAATAATATTCCATTGTCTGGGTATACCACGTTTATCTATTTACCTACTAAAGGACATTTTGGTTGCTTCCAAGTTTTGGCCGTTATGAAGAAATCTGTAAATATCCATGTGCAGGTTTTGTGTGGACATAAGTTTTCAACTTTTTGAGGTATATGCAAAGGGAAACAATTGCCAAATTGTATGGTAAGAGTATGTCTGATTTTTTAAGAAACTGCTAAACTGTCTTCCAAGATGGCTGTACCATTTTGCATTCTCACCAGCAATGACTGTGAGTTTGTTAATTTTTAAAATTTGTGTTTTTATTTAAATTCAAAAGTTAAAGGACATACTCATTTTAAGTTCCTTGACATATATATAGCACCATCAATATTTTTAATTGTGAATTTGTTAAATTTGTTTAATTATTCATTTGAAGGACAAAAAAAAAGTCCTTGATTACTCAGTGAACTTTTTGTTTAACTATTTTTAGTTTTTCTTTTGTGACTTTCTGTGTTCTTAATCCACTTTTCTATTAATATCTTAGTGGTCTTATTGATTTGTATGAGCTCCTTTAATGAGCTCTATTTTCTTTATTTTCCTAGTTTGTAGTTTATAGGGTTTTTAAAATGTATTTGAGCCTAGATTATTTTGCATATTTAACTTCCATCTGTCTTTTGATAGGTTGTTTGTATCATTTTTAAAGTTCAGAAATTCTCTTTTTAGAGATCCAGTAACTTTTCTTTTTGTTGTTTTTTTGTTGATTATAGCTCTTTAATCCATCTAGAATTTATTTGCAGCATGATGTAAGGTAAAGGTATATTTATTCTTCATTTGATTAATGATTTGAATTTTTATGTAAGCTCTATCATTCTTAAAATGTAGTTTTCAAACTTTGGTGATATCTGTAGACTAATAGTTCTTGATTCATTGAGAGGTTTAAGGACAGTGAAAGATGACAAAAAATTTTAGTGACAAAATATATTTTAGCTATGAAAAAATCATAACCTCTTACCTGACAAATCTAAACTTCCCTATCAGGGTTAAACGTTTAGACAACATTTCTGATTAGCCTTCTATTAGTACAGCAAAAGCATTTGTATTTTCTAAATAACATTTATTCATGAAGAAAATTATGGCTGAAATCTGTGTAAACAGTGAGAAGATTCTAGACTCTTCAGACAGCCCAGTAGTTTGAAAAAGCCTTGTGCTTTGGCAGGAGCCCAGGGGAGGAAGTGTCTGCATCTGCTGCATTCTAGAAGCCTTCCCAAAGAGTTACTATAAAGTAGCCAAGAGAGCAGTGTATTTCACTACTGTGTGGTTCTGGAAGTTTGTGGCAAACTTAAGGGAGGAGACTTAGGAGTACTTCCAGAATGTCAGTTTTTGTGGTGATCTATTTTTTATTGAGTTTCAAGAAGGAAAAAGTAGGTTTTTTTTTTCTTTTTCTTTTTTCTTTTTTCTTTTTTTTTTTTTTTGCCGAATAGGGAGCTTTCCAATGTGAACTTCAACCTGTTGGTTTAGGTGAAGTCACTTGGAAAGAGTCAGAGGTGCCTGCTCAGAAGAATAGAGTGACAAGAAGAGTAACAAATGCGAGCCTGTTACTGAGGCAAAAGGTACTGTTATAGTAACTGATTCTTTTCTAAGGTAATAAGGAGGACTTAAAAGTCCATGTATGTGATGGTGGGGGAGCAAGAAAAGAGTGCTATCAGGACATTTGGGAAGGAAGGGTAAATCTTTCTGAATATGCCCTGGTTGAAATTTGGTGCACTTCTGCCGAAGAATCCATTCTAGTAGTCAGTGCTACCAGTGGCAAAGGAAAAGAAAAAGGGTTTGCTGCCAAGTTAAAAAAAAAAAAAAATCCACAGCTATGTACTAGGCTAAGAATTTTTACATAGAACACAGTAGATAGAAAAACCTCAACACAAGGTCCTTTGAGAGAAATTACTAGCTTAAATCTACAGGTCTGTTTATTCTTTTTGGATTCTGTACAACTTTTTAAAAATAACAGCTTTATTGAGATATAATTCATATACCATACAATTCACCCATTTAATGGTCATGATTCAGTGGTTTTTAGTACTTTTACAGTGTTCTTCAACTATCAATCACCAGTTAATTTTAGAACGTTTTCATCACCCTAAAATCTACAACTTTTTTTTGACTTTTTTTTTTTTTAAGTTTATTTTGAGAGAGAGAGAGAGAGACAGAGCATGCAAATGGGGGAGGGGCCGAGAGAAAAAGAATCCCAAGCAGTCTCTGCACTGCCAGCTCAGAACCCAACGCAGGGCTCGAACCCACAAACCATGAGATCATGACCTGAGCCAAAGTCAAGAGCTAACACCTATTCTACTGAGCCACCCAGGTGCCCCAAAATCTATAACTTTTAATTAAATTTATTTTAAAATTTAAAGGCATGTGGGAAAAAGATGAAACAAGTTAGTAATTTGAAGGATTAATCAGTGGCTCTGAAACCTTTTTTTCCCTTTAAAACATATCCTAACATTTTAGAAAGTATTTTAGTAATATTTAAATTAAGTTACTTTAATGAAGTTGTATATTTTATGGGAAATTCATGGTTTAGATGTAGACCACAGAGAACACTTATTTTTCAGGCTATCTGAAAGAGGTGCTATTATCTAATCACTCTAATTATAGTAGTAACTAAGGAGAAAACAAACTCGGGTTGAATTTTTAAGCATAAATTGTCATTTATATGTTTCTTTAACATGAAATATAAAGTTAGTACTCTAGTTATATGCAAAATAGGGGCACCTGGGTGGCTCAGTTGGTTAAGCATCAGACTCTTGACTTTGGCTCAGGTCATGATCTCACAGTTTGGGAGTTCAAGCCCGCATATGGCTCTGTGCTGAGAGTGCAGAGCCTGCTTGGGATTCTGTCTCCTGCTTTCTTTGTCCTTCCCCTGCTTGCTATCTCTCTCTCAAAAATAAATAAAAATAAATTAAAAAAAAAGAAAAATGATAGTTGCTTTTATTAAATTGTTAAATCAATTTATAAGAGTTAATAACAATCTAGGGCAACCTTAGGGTCTGACTTACAATTTGTTCATAGGAAAAATTGATTGAGAACTTTTCCTACCCTATTTTTTTTTTTTTTTTTTGTAATGGCCATATTTTCTCTTGTAGGTGTGTGAACCTGAAAAATTAAGTCTTCCAAGATGATCTGGTATATTTTAATTGTAGGGATTCTACTTCCCCAATCTTTGGCCCATCCAGGCTTTTTTACTTCAATTGGTAAGTCTTACTATTTTTTGGCTTGTATTATTTTTGCATGTAAATTTTTCCATTTTTTAGTGTTTTTAGATCAGTAAAAACAAATACAGTGTATTCTTAGAGACTGAAGTATGCCTCAGTCCCTTCCCTTTTCCAAGTCTCTCTTTTTTAAAATTTAACTTTTTCTTTACATTTTTTTCTGATTACAAAAGCAGTACATTTTCAGGTTAGAAACTTATGAAAATTTAGAAAAGAATACCAAGAAAATTCTTTGTTAGTGAGTCCACTCAACAAATAACTTAATATACATACTTAGTCTTTTTTTTAACACACAGTATTACAAAAGTATTGCAAAAATAACATACTGGTTAAAGGAGAAACAGACAAAAGTACATAGAATGTATGATGAACACCACATGCCTTTCCCCCAGAAATATTTTTCATGTTTAATATGTATGCTTTTATGTTTTCCTATATGCATACTTCATCTGCCTTAGTGAGATGTTTTCTTTCATCCTGTTGACCAGTTCTACACTTATGTGATTGTAGTGCTAACTAAAACAAAAGCGTTATATGTATGACACCTAATTTCGGGATATAAAATAATGAGTCTTCTTATCCCGTTATAAATAACTAAACACAGATGATTTGAATTTCGTTTGTGAAGTATACTTATGTATACTTAAAAAAAAATTTTTTTTAACATTTATTTATTA